ATATTTATTTGAAATATGAACTACAACTTTACAAATTACAATAGAGAATTGAGGGAAAAATTAAAACATGAAATACATTTTATAATAAATTGTAAAATACTAATCAATCGGAATCTCCGGCATAGGAGCCACCCTCGGTTGTTGATTCATTCATAAAGTCTTGGGAGGGGGTGATACTAATTTCTTGACATCTACGCATGGTCTTCAACCAATCGTGGTAGCATATAAGCGTCTCAAGAGACTCAGCGCTCAAACTCGTTCTAGATGCCGTTAGAACGTTGCCGGCCGAACTAAACTCTTGTTCCACGGCAACTGTTGAAACCGGCATTGATAGCACTTGCTTAGCCATCCGTGCCAAAATCGGGAACATTTTTTCTTTTGACTTCCACCACTTTAGAACGTCAAACTCCTCATTTTCGTCAAATTCCACCTCATAATTTATATACAACGAAATCTCATTAAGTGCGCTTTGTTCAGTAGTGTGAGTTGTTTTAGGTTTTTTCATAAGATAGACAAAAGGAGATTTAAAAAGTGATTTTCCTTTAGATGAAGATGTGTGTGTCAGGGGAGGGGGCGCGTTGCCATATTGTGCACGAAACTCATTAAATAAGGCATAAAATAAATTACTAACCTCGTTGTATTCAACTTGCGGATCTATGGCGTTATCGTCATACATTGGAAATGGACCAAAAAAACATTATAATAGAACTTCAAACATTCTTCCAAATTACCAAGTATATAACGAGGATCGAGAATAAATGCAATATCATAAATATGCGGAATATGTGCATAATATTTTAAAAACTTTTCCTTCATAAAACCACAAAAATAACTCACGTAAGCGGCATTCTCAAATTCATTAAAAGCACCGGCGAGATTAACAACTTCACGAATAAATTCGTTCGAGGTAGGTTTATAAACATGACTAAAACTATCGGTTGCATTATTAAAATATATCAAAACATTACAAATTTTTTCACAAGTATCGATGTGAGCAGAGTTTAAAATATAGTTATCATATTGTCTTAAAAAAGCAGGAAAATGTTCTTTATATCTAAGAAAAACTTTAATTAATTTATAAGTACTATTCCACTGAATAGACAAATCTTTAGGAAAAGCAACATATTTCACACATCTTTCAATCAAATAACTTTGCCATTTTAATTTAAGTTGACCATTGCCCCAAATACATCTAATCCCCCCCTTGACTACCTCCATAGCATCTCCTAACGCTTTTATACCATCTTGCACACATAAATTTATAATATGGCATGCACATCGTTGATGAAAAAATCTACCCATCAAAGTATGAGAACCACACAATTCACGCAATCTAGGTATAGCAGCAATATTATTAGTAGCATTATCAAAACCTATAGCAAACACCTTATCAATCAAATTATACTCAGTTAAAATACGTTCAATCAAAATATAAATATGTTCAGCGGTGTGACGATCATTAAATTCACGAAAAGCAAGAACACGTTTATGCAAATTCCAATCATTATCAATAAAATGTGCAGTCAGGCCCAAATAATGTAAATTATGATAAGTATCCTCCCAAATGTCAGAACAAATAGTTACACGGCCATCAAAGTTTGCAAAAAAAATTTGTAACCTATCCTTTTCCGCACGATAAAGCCTTGTAATTTCTTTCTTAACCGTTTTGCGACTCTAACTTCTAAATTGAGGATTTAAACAAGTTTGTGCATAATCTTTAAAAGCAAGACTTTCAGAAAACAAATAAGACAAATTTTCTTCAACAAGTAAGTTAGCCATATCAGTCAAATTTTGTGCATCAGTGTATGAGAAATTGCCAAAAGGTTGGTCATTTGCAAACCTCGATATTTGAGTTTACTTCCCCTTGCCTTTGTCTATTTTCGCATACTCCACAGAGTGCGCGGACTTAAGATGCCTTTTGAGGCTCCCGTATCCGCCGGAAGTTCCCAAGCTATACTCCTTCTTGCAATGATCGCAACTTGCGCACCATTTATCGGTTGTTGGGTCTTTCCTCTTTGTAAAATTATTTTCTATAATAGGAGATTTATATTTCTTACCAACTTGGGATGGACCGCCCTCGTCCTCCAACTCTTGCTCATTATCCGGGGTGCCGTGAGTCCCGTCGCCCCCCTCGTCCTACTCCGCATCGTCATCCTCGAGCTCCTCTTCATCAATGGACTCCGGGATCTTTTGTTGTTGGAAAAAGCGACCATCATTTTGCGCCAATAGTTGTTGTAGTTGCTCGTCGGACATCGCATCCCCATCTCGCCTTTGGTATCCCGTTTCAAAATCTTCTCAACTTTGAGAAGAAGACCCGACTCGCCCTTTACCTTTGCCTTTGCATAAACTAGGATGACTTGTCGCAATCTCCTTCCTTCAGTTGCGTTGGAGATTACCCATATCTACGGAATGTCTGCCACGATCCATCTGTAAAATGTAACAAATATTATATGATATCAAATGTTTTAATATGAGTACAATAGTAATAATATAATGCGACTAATAAAATTATAGCAAATTTCCAAGAATCCACTTACTAATAAAATTAAGTAGTTTGAAACTTTAATGCAACAATTAACAAATAACTAGTTTTTTTTACTTTTATGATAAATGCAACAATTAACAAATTAAATAATAGGGAAATGAAAAATATAACAATTAACTACTTTTATACTTTAATGCAACAATTAAAAAATAACTAGTTTTTTTACTTTTATGATAAATGCAACAATTAACAAATTAAATAATAGGGAAATGAAAAATGAAACTATTAACTAGTTTTATACTTTAATGCAACAATTAAAAAATAACTAGTTTTTTACTTTTATACTTTAATGAAAAATGTAACAATTAACTACTTTTATACTTTAATGAAAAATGTAACAATTAACTAGTTTTATACTTTAATGAAAAATGTAACAATTAACTAGTTTTATGCTTTAATGAAAAATGTAACAATTAACTAGTTTTATGCTTTAATGAAAAATTTAACAATTAACTACTTTTATACTTTAATGAAAAATGTAACAATTAATTACTTTTATACTTTAGTGAAAAATGTAACAAACTACTTTTATACTTTAATGAAAAATGTAACAATTAACTACTTTTATACTTTAACGAAAAATGTAATTAATTAACTAAATTAGGATAATGAGAAATGTAAAAATTAACTAATACGATGAATTTAATTACTATGAATTCAAGTGTAACTAATATAAATGTATAACTAATACTTCCTCCGTTTCTTTATAATTGCAACAGTCAACATTTTCACGTTTGCCAACGCACAAGTTTGACTATTAATATCTTTCATTCCTTATTAGCAAAAAAATTAAAAAATTCATATTTTGAAATTTTAGAATGCGAAGAATTTAACAATATTTTTTAAAAATTTAATTTATAATACATTAACTAATAAAATATAGTCAAAGTAGAATATGTGAATAGTACAAAAAGTCCAATGTTGCATTTAAAAGAGAACGGGGGTAGTATATAATATAATGTTTATAGTATATAATATATAAGTATATTACTATAAGATGAGTAATACACTTATATATAATACTTTAATATATATTATATATATTACTTTAATATTCACAAATATTACTACTTTTAATATTTCTAACAAAAATATGACTATTGAATAAAATAACAAGGTGGTTTCCCTACCATTACTCCAATGTTGTTTGTACGTGATGGGTAGTTATGGACTTGTAGTCACTTTTTTGTAAACTCAAGTATTATTGGTAATATTTACATAAAAAACTCTTAAGTAAATAACAATAAATATAGATAATAAAGTAAATATTAAAAAGATGGAGATGTATAAGTAGATAATAAGTATATATTAAGTAGATAATAAATATTAGTAATATAATATAGGTATCTAAGTAGATTATTGTATAACTAATAATATAATGTTTATAGTATATAATAGAATTATTCATGACCTTACCTATATAATATATAAGTATACTACTATAAGATGAGTAATACACTTATATATAATACTTTAATATATATAAATAAATAACAATAAATATAGATAATAAAGTAAATATTAAAAAGATGGAGATGTATAAGTAGACAATAAGTATATATTAAGTAGATAATAAATATTAGTAATATAATATAGGTATATAAGTAGATAATTAATATATAAGTAGATATAATAATTATATAAATAATATATATATATAAATATATATATGTGTGTGTGTGTAGAGAGAGGTTTGGAGAAGATGAAGATGGAGATGATTGAGTATGAGAGAATAGAAAATTAGAGAGTAGGATTGTATGAAGATGGTGTGAAAAACATAGAGAAAATAGGAGTATAAATAGAATTTTTTGGTATCCCCCACCCCCACCACCACCACCCCCCCCTCCTCCTCCCCCTCCAACGGCTATAGAGCCGTTTGGGATGATTCCCAACGGCTAGGAGCCTTCTTCAATTAAAAAAAAAATTAAAAAGTAGTTGTTGGAGGCCCGGGCCGGTTCATCTTTTGCAAGGCCCGAGCCCGGACCGCCTACCGGGCCGGGTAGGCCCGAACCGTACTGCCGACCCGTTTCGGGGCCGGGCCGGGCCGGAACAGTACCGGTTCGGTCCGACCGGCCCGAGTCCACCTCTATTTGTAACTCTTTGCAAGTGCCGTGTATATATGGCAGTACTTGTACATGCATCCGAGGTATGAGAGAACATTCTTGCTTGATTCATACTTAGCACGATCATCAAACTCATATATGTAAACACTACTTTCCATCTGTGTACGACCATACGATACTACGATTCATCACAATCACAATGAGATAAAGCAACTTGAAGGAGAATGAAGTATCATCAACCTAGCTTTTGGATGAAGAAGTTGTAGAAATGTGTGCCAAGTCTACAAAACATTGAAGAATGATGTGTAGCAATAACTTGCGCCTTGCGGCTTGCGGGTCTCATTCTCCAAATGTATGTCTGTCATAGTTGAATCACTTTGGAAAATTTGATACTAATTAACACCCCGCCACGAGGTTATCATAACCTGGTATATGAATATATGAACTATGAAGTTTCCAAGTCTAATAAGTAGTACAAAGTATAAGAGAACAATTGGCACATACATGTGTACTAAAACCCAAGGGAAATAAAGATACATTCATCCTGACTACACCAATGGAAGGACATTTATTTTACAATTGACAGGGACCTCAGTTTTTCCCACTTCCCTCCCATTACTGTGTCAGTAACATTTTATCTCACACACTTTTGATACCTCGACTATTGTGATAACACTTGTAATGACTCTCGACATAATACTAAGTGGAGGAACAAGTGTCACTAGTCGAAGGACCAAATGAATTTGTCACAATAGTCAGAGACTAAAGACGGAACTAAAAGTGAAAAGAACTCCCATAACACTATATGACCCAGAACCAGGATAAGATAGAACCAACAGCCAGCCCAATCACCAAGAACAGCACTAGAACCAGCCCTGCTGTCTCTGCATGTTGCAACAGGACAGTTTTGGGAGCCAGTATGAACAACACACTAGTTAGGTATCCATTTGTAAGTCCCAAAAGGCATGTCAGTACCATAACTGGAAGCTCAGTCCTAAAGAACTCGGGTCCGTGCAAGCAACCATAGAAAAGAGGCAGAAACAACAACCTAGCAAAGGAGGCAGCTATAGCAGCCTTTGCATCCCCAATAGTATAAACAGCTGTTAAGGACTTGCCAACCAAATCAAACACATTGTAGCATGTGATTAACAGGACTGGATACCAATCACTGAGAATCTTAGAATGCACGTCCTCCGTGATATATCCAGGGAAAATGCATAATGTTACAATATATATACTGAGGATGCCAAACCCATACCACTTTATTGTCCCAAAAACGTCCCCCAAGGTTGATATCCATAACTTGGTGGTTCCCAAGTTGCCCTTCTCTTCTTTCTCCTCATTCACTGCCTGAGCTTTAAGTTGATTGTAGTATTGAATCACTGGGAGTTTGTGTGCTACGTTGTAAAAAATAATGCACAGTGCCATCACAGCAATGGTAACGATGAAATAAAGGTTTGCACTTTTCCTCAGCCCTTGAGCGTCTTGTGGATAAACCGCTTTGGTCAAGATTCTTAGCAGAGAAACAAGGATGCCTTCAGGACAATATAAAATCACACCATTAATCCCATATTAGATCACCCACAAATATTACACTTTACTCCATATTTCACAGGATAAATAATAAAATGAACTGCACTAACCAAAAAACAATGTCATTACTCATTAGTTAACTTCTCTGCTTATAATGCTACTTTAGTACAGAACGCATTCATACTGGAAACAACTCAATTATAAATGGAGTTCTGTGGCAAATCAATATAGTTCAGCACATCACATCCTCTGAGCTAAAGGGAGATTATGTCATAATGCTAATGAGATTCTTATGAAAATATACTATAGACACAGCAGTAATGCTCCAAATGCGTTACAATGAGGCAGAGCTTATTTAGAAAGATAGCATAATCTGAAGGTATACATGCAAAAAACCAACCAAAGATTCCCTGTATGTCTGGTCTGAAAGTAGGGTCTGGAGTGTGAGATGTATGTGGCCCTTACCTCTAGCATTACGAGTAGAGTGAGACTATTTATGTGAATAATCTCTGACTGAAGAATTTTTTTGAAGGTTTGGAAGAAGTTAAACTTTGAAAATTTGAGTGATTTCTTTTGCATTAAAGGGTATTTAACTATGCATGGAACCTGAAAAGTTAAACTAGAAGATTAAAAAGCATAAGCTGGATGGATAGATCCATCAATATATTCAAGTTGAATAGAGTTGCACCATGTGCTTCTAATTACATCATTACATGCTACTAGAGTGCAGTTGAGCCAAGCCCGAATGGTCAACACAGAGCATTGCTCGAATACAAAACCAAAATTCGAAGCTTGAATGACTTGAATCTAGCTCTATCCAATTCCATTTCGCAAACTCGAGCTTGATTTGATTCAAATATTTGATATATTCATTTTTCATTTTATTCATATAAAACCTATAATAACATAGGTTTTACCACCAAATATGCTAAGCTATATGAAGTACCATATTAAATGAAATGAATATATACACACATACTATCTATTTGAGAATTTCTTTTTATTCATGTGAAAAAAACTGTAAATGGTAGAAAATCAAGATTAAGCTCGTGATCAGCTCAAGCAGAGCACTTGTTACTAGAGCTTGAACTTGGGCTCGACAGAATCTAGATCGAATTAAAATACTTTACGAATTAATCTAGAAGATTTTGGGTCGCTTGTACCTCAACATACCACCAACATATATTCAAAAAAGAAACAAACAATTGTCTGTAGCTAAGATTTGATCAAGCTTCTGATGCAAAAATGAACAAATAAGTTACGGCACTATACGGAGTAATTTAGAAAAATGAGAAGAAGAAGAAGAAGAAGAAGAAGAAGAAATGAAGGAAAACCTTAGCTCAAACTGAGACGAACTCGCATATGAAATTCAATTGCAAGTACCAGACAAGTCCACTGGTGATCAACTCAAATTAATTATACAGTACTCTGATAGTTTGCTCTACCCAAGACACAACAAGACATGAATGAATCAAAGCACCAAAGAATAAAAAAGAAAAACTAGTACTCCCTCCGTATTTAAAAGTTCCCTGCAGCCTACACTTTCCTAACTCACTCTTTATTTAAAAGTTTCCTACACTTTCCTTTTTGGGATTCCTTTTTGGGATGTATTTAAAAGTTTACTACGTTTTCCCTTTTTGATAAGTTTTTCTTTTAAAAATACTCAAATATCCTTACTTTTTCTACCTTTTATCTTCTCTTTCAAGTTTTCACACCTTCTCTCCTACTTTTTCTACCCTATTCATTATCCTACTATTGGGTGGGAGTATCAAACTAGGAATTTCTTAAACCAGAGAAAAGCGTTAACCAAAAATTCAAAAACAAAAATAAGAAATGGAAATACCAGAGGCGGCAGTGCCAGCAACCACAGCCTGCATGTACCGGTCAGGCAACTCCCCCGCGGATCCAATGACTCCGCCCTGAACCAACCCGTCGGCAAGTCCAGAAATCCCCACCAGCCCCACGGATATATAGTACCCACCTGCGACCCCAATATTCCCCTTCACATAGAACACATCCATCAATGGAACGGCGAGCAGAGCCAGCACAAATAGAGCAAGCCCCACGTTTATCCTCACGAAGGAGTTCGATTTGTGCGCCAATGCTATAACGACCAGAAGGGAAATCAAGCCTACCACCATGTAGACCACGGCAAAGACCCGGTCTACAGATTCGTCCGGGTAGAAGTAGGAGAAGTAATCCACGGCAGTGACAAACGCGTTCCATGGAAGAAGATAGCCAGCACCGAGGGTGAAGTAGATGATGTAACCCAAGTGATAAGAATCTTTGGGAACCTTAGGATTAAGCAGGCCCGTACGTTCGGTATCACCGATGCAAGCGCAAGCGGGGGTGGAAATGGTAGTTGTGGTGGTGACACCCATTGGCCCGCCGTGGAGTTGTCGTCTTCTGGGCGATGGCCGTTGTTGGAGGTTTAATAATTGCGGAGCCAAGCTACCTACCTCTCTGGGAGATGGCCGTTGTTGTACTTCAGTTCTCTTAAAATTAAAAATAACAGGTTAAATTGTCCTAAATAGGACTAATTTATTGATTAAATTCCAAAGTGGGACTAGGCATAGTTTTTATTCCCAGATGGGATTATTGTACGATTTTACCCTCCTACCTACTCCGTATTTTAATCGCACAGCACCAGCCATCTCCCATTCTTATCCATCAGCCGCACCAATCTTCTCTTCTCCTGCACAAAAGAACAGCCGGACCTAGACGCCTAATCGATCATGCCCGTCGCCGCCAGAAATTCCATCGCCGTCGCCAGCCGCCGTAGATCGAGTTGCCTTCTCCGTAGGTATCATCTTCTCCGATTATTCTCTCTGTCCTTCCCCCTTTTCTCTAGTTCTCTCTTCCCCCTTCTATTAAGTTACAAATGCTAATTATTGAAACTAAAATATGAAAAATGCCAGATTAAACTCTGGAAATGCCATATAAATGGCATTCTTATTCTTAAAAAAAATGGTACTATCCTTTCAAAATGCCATTAAAATGGCATTCTCGATTTGTATTGGCATTTTGATAACAATAATTGCATTTGTGTTGACAACGACCAGATCTACAACAATGGAGGCCATATTCGCAACGACAGATGACGGATTGGCTTTGAAGGTGGCCGGATCTGCAGGGTAGTGGCCGGGAGACAAGGGAGGGTAGATTTGGCCAGATCTCCGGCGGTGCCACCCAAATTTGTAGCGGCGATAACCAAATCTGCAACGGCGGTGGTCTGATCTGCATTGGCGGCCAATTTTGAGGCGGCGGAGATGTCCGGCGACCGGCGGCCGGCGGAGACCGGCGGCGGTTCAGCATTCTGCTTGGTGGCAGTTTTATTTCCAGGCTTCACAAGGGTGTTTTTGTCCAAGTGGAAATAATAACTCCTATTTAGGATATTTTAAAACAGTAGTCCTATTCTGGCAATTAAAGATTGATTTACTCCTATTTAGGTAAATACCTCTAACAATAATTGCGTGGTTGTGACAATTACAACTACTTTGTGTAAGGTAATACTCGTATAACTTAAGTACCAAGTATAAACGATGTTTTTACTCGTAATGTGTTCCGGACGAGATCAGATCGGACTTGAATAGTTATAAAAATACAAAGAAACCAGACTATACCAGTTCAGACCAGACCAGACCAGCAAATTACAGTCGAAGTAAAAACATCCTAACTGTTTCCAGGGACTTACTAAACGTGCGGACAGCAGCCTAGGGTTAGGTGCAAGTTTGAACAGGGATGATCGGTGGCGGCTCTCTTGGTCGGCGAAGGTCGCTGGAAGCTTGGAAGGGGACTTCGTGGTGCGGCGATTCAGTTGAATTCATTCGGGCAACTCTGAGGGCAGATGATGGAGGCAAATCAGAAATAGTTCAAGGTGGTGCAGCTGGCTCAGATGTATGACAGTATGGAGATGGATGAATAAGACGCGACTATGTTGACGAAAATCACATGATTGGAGTCTAGCGCATGACTAGACCAAGATTTCGGAAAGATCGTATTTGGTCCGTCCTGATGGTCCGGCCACCTCCTGAATCACCGCCATGGAATGTACGAGTTGGAGCTTTGGCTATTTGTGGAAGACCTCAGTTAGAAAGGATCAAGAATAATGGATCTTGGCAAGCAATGACACGCTCGTTTAGTTTGCATTATATTATTGTTATCTTCCAGTTTGTTTTTTTATTTTGAACCCTTAGTTGATTGAGTGTGTTATGCTTATGAGATGGGTAGGTATTTTATGCTAAGAAGTAAAATAGCTTCAAAAGCCAAGATAATCATCAAATCTCTCGAATGCTTAGCGACTCAATCCGCTCTAGTTAGCGTGGTCGTTTGTATGTCTAATCAGATGGTGGGGGAACCTTCGAGTTATGGTGAGTTTGGTAGCAAAAGGCTATTCAATATTAAAAAATTTGTAAAGTCGTTGGTTCTTGAATTCTAATATAGTTAGTCAGTTTCCTTTCAAAATTTACTATGTATTATCAAAAAAATTATAATTTGTAAACAATTAACTTATTATCAAAATCATCTAAAAGGTTTTATAATGAAAAAGTCAAACTAGTAACTGTATTAATAATCAAACAGAACCATCACTATAGAGTCACTGATGATACAATTCATATATTGAAATTCAAAATGACATTTCGTTCGATATGCTCATATTTCTTCTCATCAACCTTCTCATCATATTGAACATGTAGTGCAAAAACACAAAAAACATTTGGAAACAAAATAAGTTGCACAAATGAAATGACAACTATAAATAAAAGAATATTAAATACTACGTAATAAGTAATCATATGGTTATATGCTCCCATCTAGTCCATTGAAGCCATTGAACACTAACAATATTTAGTATACCACTTCAAGCTGAACAGATATCCTCGACTATTAGTGCTTTAATTTTGGTCACGTGACAATCAGCATGATAAACAATTAGAAATCCATGTGCGCCAGACCCACAAGACTCATGCGCACTCCTTTTTATGCTAGTGTTCTATAGCAATACTGTTGTATCCCAAACTTCTCTTTGTTTCGTTCCGATTATCTACATTTTTGTCATATTTTCATATTCCCTCTCTCTCTAACTAGCTCCACCACCTCATTCCCCTATTTTCATTTAGCTCTACTAAACTTTGTTAACTAGTGCCACTCCTTCAGAGCTTCACCACAATGTTCCGTTAAGCTCTATGTCGCCTTCCCCCGCCTACTTCTCTTCCTCTCACCACACACACTACCATCTCATTTTTTTGTCACTAATCATTTACTTCCTACACCAAGCTTTCTTTTTCCGCCATTAGCTAGCAAGCGGGACCCATAGGCTTGCACTTTGTCTCCTGTTACAAGCAAACACCCATCCATAGGGAGAATGTTTGTTTGCATGACCAATAAAACCACATGTGAAACACATAAGGTATATTTTCATATTTAAAATTCGCCCAGAATCAGGCATTGCCTTCCTCATGGAATTTCATGTATCTCTTCAAGGGCTTATCTATGTCTCATAAACACATATTCTCATATACCCCTTTCATGCTCCTCCAAACTCATATTCATCAATGTGCACCAACTTGTCAACGTAATTGTTTGTCACTTTCGTCGCATTATTCGTCAGAAGTCCCAAAGGAAGATTTATGAACTTCGATTCGAAATTATGCATGTGTTAATGAAACTTCAAGCGTTAAACCTCCTCTCATAAGAGTCGCAACACTAATAGGTTCAAATCGATGCCATGTTGTCCTAAATACTGAGAGTTTGGTAGCCTCAATGATATTCGCATCTAAGCGTGAAATGAAATTTGCTCATCTCCCCTTCGCCTTCCCCCTCATCTACACTGAACACCCCCCCCCCCCCCCCCCCCCTCCATCTTCTTCGATTAACAAATTTCTACAAAATTATTCAATACTTGCCATTGTAGCCCCGCATATCTTGGGTACTAATACCAAGGAAAGCCTTCATTAAACCCTTGTTGAAACGTTGTTGCCGCCCGCTATCAACCGGCCACAAAAAAAGTCCCTAGGCTCGTCGCACATATGAAGATCCCAATTGCAAACAAGTCTCTAGGTTTAGGTCATCAACATTTACAAAATTTTATGTCACTCATCAGGTCATTAAATGGTTATATTTAATGGAAATATCTTTAAAAATATCATTGAATAAATACAAGTTTGATAATAATGGAACCATATGGAATACTTTTGAGTTGCATTATTTGGTCTTGCTGGAAGGGAGGGAAGAGGATAAATTTAGCCTCTACTCCTAACGCTCAAAAATTGAAGTATGGGTGGATAGGCACTGATTCCAACCCGGTTCTCCCAGATCCACATTGTGGTCACGGGTCACCCTTTACCCGGACCAAAAATTCTAGGTCAGCTCCACTCCTAGGAAGGTTGTATACCATATTAAAAAAACTATCTGGGGCCATTCAAACACATTTTGAAGGGGTAGAAATTAAGGAACCTAAGTAAGAGCAAAAAACTTAAATGCGTCACGCTCCAATTAGTTTTAGTTAAAAGAGAGGAAATTATATCCCTGGCCACCCCCTAGTAACCTCAAACCAAACAGGCCAACATACACTAATAGCACAGGAGATATGTTTTCCGGATGAACAGGTAAAAACGTTCAGATTTTATGTTCTAATAGTCCAAAATGTTTGTGATTCGTTTTTTAGATGATCAAAGTAGGTTTGAGTAGACTGTGTTCCTTCAAATTTACTATTATGCTTTCACTTGGGAGTTGGGACTTGGGAGTCAAGAATCCATTGAGATCATTCGAAGTAAGGATCCCCTCCAACTTTTACGAGGGAATTGAACTGAACTTCAATACTTGTACTTTTTTTACACTTCAATACTTGTACTTTTTTTACTCCCACCAGTTCAATGATGAAAGTCTCTAATGGTAGGGTGAGAAATTCTCTACTGCCAATGATGTCATTTCCATTCTATAACGCCCTTTCTTCATCTTTAGCAGTTGGCACTTGGCATTCCAACACGTCATTAGTACAGGGCACTTGTCTCTTGATAACAACTAAGGGTGAACCCAATCCAGTTATGATTCTGTACCAGCTGGTTCCGAGTCATGAAAAGAATGGAACCAGAATTGGACTGAATATGCTCAGTCTAATTCCAGTTCAGTTCTAGGGACAGATCTGGTTCTGCTCTAATTATTGGGTCGATTCTGGTCTTTCTAGCCAGCCATAACAGGTGCAATCTGGCCCTACTATAGAGGGAACAGACAAGTTCTCATCTGGCCATCAGGAAAACTGATTTGGTCTGCAAACAAACATCTGGAAATGGGACTGTGTTCATCTACCCTTTATACCAAAAATGCCCAGAATGAATATGGGTTTGTTTGACTCAAGAGAGGAGAAAGGCAGGGTATTTTTGTGTTACCTTATTTGGTTTAGTTGAAGAGAAGGGAAATGGAGTGACATTTAGACCTCCACTCCAAAAAACCCAATCAGATCATAAAAGGGTATATGGAGAAAAAGGGCCGCTTAAAAAAAGCACACAACTGTGACACAAACTAAAAAAGTGAAACATACAAAAAATACTATGTATAACATAGGATGGAATATCCAATATGAAATCAAGAGAAATGGGCGACCATTATCATTTTGACCTGTTAACATCATGCGGTTAATGATTGATTGTTCAGCTCAAAAGGCATTACTATCTATGTGCACGTTAAAACTTCCTAAGTTCTGCATGTTCAAACTCTACAAGATTTTCAAGTCTCTGTACCATTTTGCAAGTCACTACGCTTGTTGCAATCCAATTTGCGCCTCTTCGCATCAAGCCGTGGTCTCAACTGATTCAAAATAGTATGTGTTGTTAGTAGGTTGAGGAGAGACCTAAATTACCACAGGTATTCATTCAAGCAATGAGTAAGAGACCTCAGTTTGCATGCACAAAATGCCTGCTGATTATTAAAACCAGGGGACCAAGTTTGAAAACTACAAATTCTTTTTTTGGGCATACACTAACCTATCTATAGTATCTATTCAACAAATCGCCAACACTACTTGGGTATGAAATCTACTTTTATGAAATAAAAGCATTATGGTTCAGATATTGGTGCCGGCTATACCCCCAATAATTTAAGCTTTAATAATTGTTGCATAAGTAAAAGCCTAACATGCCAAAGGGAGATGCATATATTTAATGTACCAGTGCATGTGAGAGAGGGAGAGAGGAAAATGCCTCACACTCCTAAAGGGAACTCATAGAAATAAAGAAAATCAAAGAAGACCTACAACACTTACCATCTCTATGTACTTTAGTTGTTTCATAACTTCCTCTGTTTCTAGCTCCTGAAACCAAAGATGGGTCATGTGAAAATTGAAGGTAAGATGTGCTAAAAATGATGCCTAGAGGCTCAGACAATGAGACATGTATGAAAAAATTGCAGGAAAGTGGGAAAATAAAAATAGATATATATATATAAGTACAGCAAAAGGGAAGAACATATAAGTGCTTGAGTGCCTACAGCATATTGAAGCTTCTCTACAAATAAACAGTATAGCCTCACAATTATTTTTATGATAACGAAACCCACAAATATTCATTTTTCAAAAAGCTTAAGATGGATGGGACAATTGACCAATAAAAAGTATCACTGAAAAATGAGTAGGACAAGACAAAGAATTTCCCAATGGTCTTAGAAACCAAAGACAGTAGAGCACATTGATGGACAAAATTGTTGCCTAAGTCCCAGCTCAAGTTTCCTGCCTAGCCGCCTTTACCTCTACCTAGTTTTGATTGCGAAGGAAATAATATTTATGCTCATATGTCTTAAATACTGCACATATCTTGGTGCTTGAGTGGCCTACAGCATATTGAAGCTTCTCTACAAAAAAAACAGTATAGCCTCACAATTATTTTTATGATAACGAAACCCGCAAATATTCATTTTTCAAAAAGCTTAAGATGGATGGGACAATCGACCAATAAAAAGTATCACTGAAAAATGAGTAGGACAAGACAAAGAATTTCCCAATGGTCTTAGAAACCAAAGACAGTAGAGCACATTGATTGACAAAATTGTTGCCTAAGTCCCAGCTCAAGTTTCCTGCCTAGCCGCCTTTACCTCTACCTAGTTTTGATTGCGAAGAAAATAATATTTATGCTCATACGTCTTAAATACTGCACATATTTTGGTGCTTGAGTGGCCTACAGCATATTGAAGCTTCTCTACAAAAAAACAGTATAGCCTCACAATTATTTTTATGATAACGAAACCCGCAAATATTCATTTTTCAAAAAGCTTAAGATGGATGGGACAATCGACCAATAAAAAGTATCACTGAAAAATGAGTAGGACAAGACAAAGAATTTCCCAATGGTCTTAGAAACCAAAGACAGTAGAGCACATTGATGGACAAAATTGTTGCCTAAGTCCCAGCTCAAGTTTCCTGCCTAGCCGCCTTTACCTCTACCTAGTTTTGATTGCGAAGGAAATAATATTTATGCTCATATGTCTTAAATACTGCACATATCTTGGTGCAAAGCTCAGTCAGAACAGTGATTCACTTAAAAAGTGGGAACCATTCTGGATTAGCAGCCATACGCGGAGGCATGTCAACTATAATTGGCTAGTGCTAAAATGCAGATAGTGTTCAATACAAAAAAAACACTTATTTTCTTTTGTTCTTTGCAGCGTTGTGAGGTCAAAACCCACAAAACTCAATAAGTTTAATGTCATAAAAAGGAGAAAAAAAGAGATAAAACAGAGGAATTATGTGCAAGACTAACTCATGTTAGAATGATTAAAAGATGCAGAACAGTCAACTAGTGTACCTGAGGAACAGCACAATCAGCATGTGCTGGATCCCATAGAACAGATTGAAAGCACTCCCAATCATCTGTTTGAACTTCAAAAAGAGGGGCCCTGTGAAAGTAACCATCTGTTGAGATTATAAAGTAATTCGAGCGGAGTTCCAAAAGATCCAAGTTGAGACAAGTTTATGTTGTAAGAGAAACATCCATAAAATGTTGCAATCAAATTACATAGTAGATGGGGGAAAATAAGGTAACAAAGGGAATGAAACAAGATGAGTCCTGCACAATATCATCATTGAAACTGAAATTGAACCATTAACCTTGCACAATTGGTAATTTAGAATAGAATAAGCGCATCTAGCTTATTTTATGCTATTTGGCAGAAATCTTGTGTCATGGAAGAATAAAAAACGAGATGCATTGCTCGTACAAGTGAAGCAGCAGAATGCCAAGAACTAATTTGGGTGCAATAGCTGTTCACAAAACTCAAATTCTATAATAAATTTAGTTTCATGCAGTCATACCATGAAACTTTGGGAGCGAGTGATTGAGCAAAGACTTCGAAGAACGGTGAAGATTTCAGAGAATCAATTCGGTTTTATGCCTGGTCGCTCAACAACTGAGGTTATTCACCTTCTTCGGCAACTTATGGAGAAGTATAGAGACGCTCACAAGGATTTGCATTTAGTGTTCATTGACTTAGAAAAGGCATATGATAGGGTACATCGAGAAGTTCTTTGGTGGGCCTTAACTAGAAAAGGCATTTCACGCAAGTATATCAGCATCATCATGGATATGTATGAGGATAGTACTACAAGTGTTCGTACTAGTGTAGGGAGGACTGCGGAGTTCCCTATTACTATCGGAGTGCACCAAGGATCGACCCTGAGCCCTTTTTTATTTGCCATAGTCATGGATGAACTTACAAAGTCAATTCAAGACGATATACTGTGGTGCATGATGTTTGCCGACGATATTGTATTGATTGATGAGACGCAATCAGGGGTTAAAGCAAAGTTGGAAGTATGGCGACAGACATTGGAGAACAAGGGTTTCAGACTAAGTAGAAGCAAGACAGAGTACATGGAGTGCAAGTTTGGTGGAGGTAGAAGCAGTGGTAATAGTGGAATTACTTTAGATGGTAAGGAGATACCGGTCAGCGATATGTTTCGTTACTTGGGCTCCATAATTCAGAAGGACGGTGAGTTAGATGGAGATGTATCCCATAGAATCAGAACAGGGTGGATGAAGTGGAAGAGTGCGTCAGGATTTCTATGCGATCGAGGTATGCCGACTAGACTGAAGGGTAAATTTTATAGGACAGCAATTAGGCTTGCATTACTGTATGGCACGGAGTGTTGGGCGGTGAAACAATGTCACATTCAAAAGATGAGTGTGGCAGAGATGCGCATGCTGCGTTGGATGTGTGGGCATACTAGAAAGGACCGCGTGAGGAATGAGACAATTTGACAAAGGGTGGGAGTAGCACCTATTGAAGATAAGATGCGGGAGTCACGCCTACGGTGGTTTGGTCATGTGCATAGAAGACCGAGTGATGCACCTGTCAGACGAGTTGAGATGTGTGGAGAAGAGGTAGGGAAGAGAGGGAGAGGAAGGCCCAAACAGACGTGGGTTAGGGGAGTCAGAAGTGATATGCTTCTTCTTGGATTGGATGAGAGTATGCCTTTGGAGAGAGCAAAATGGAGGGCGTATTCGTGTGGAAGAGTGATCTTGTATCATCTTTTCTCCTCTTTATATATATATATATATATATATATATATATATATATATATTTATCCTTATATATAAATATTACTTTATCCTTTTTATTTGATCTTTTATATGTATATTCATCTCTTTTATATTATCTTTTTTATAATAGCTTATCTTTTTTATCTTTATTTTCGTCCTTTTCCTTTTGGTGATATCATATATCGATTCATGTTAGCCGACCCCAATATCGTTTGGGACTAAGGCTTGGATGTTGTTGTTGTTGTAATCAGTTCTTCTCAAATCACATCCTAACCGATTTGTAACAGGAGCAAACATACTGAGGTTCATTGTCACTTCATAATGAAGAATTGTTTCAGGAGACGTGGTTCCAACTTTTGTTAGGACAAGTGATCGCTGGGCTATGTCCGCAGTAAAGCCTGAAGACCTAGTACTTTTTGTGAGGGCCTTAAGACCTAGTATTGAATATGTGTAGCAAGCATGGAGAATAAATCTGCATGTTCTGACTTAAGGGGGTTAAGGGGGAGTGTTCAAGGCATTAACAAGGCTTAGCCCACACTCCCAGCACTTAAACGTATACAACAGACTTAGGCACAAAATAAGGCATTCAATAGCATTCAGTAACTGTTAGATATAGTAAATAAACTGTTGTTAGTATTGTTGTATTCTGTTAGACTTCGGTTAGCATTACAGTTAGTAGTTCAACTACTGAAATGTATAAATACTCTGTAATATCTCTTTCTCAGTATGATGATTCATTTTCCATTCTATCTCTTCTTCAACTTCTATTAGTAACACACACACAACAGAACTTCACCGACATTCTTGCTATTAATTGTATCATGGAAGATGCCAATATAAACTTCGATAGTCCGGACTATTATAGTCATATATTATCAGAAAATAAAAGATCCAACACAATTCAGTAAGCGAATTTTCTTACCTGCGCCATTTACCACAAACAGTTCCATCAATACCCTTCCCAATACCTAATATGACCTCCTGGCATTGTAGCCAATTCCCAATAGAGCCAACCCTAAAACTCTTATTAACACTGATGTCCTGAAAATAGCAAGAGCATCAGCTTTTTAACACATTTTTATTGAACTATGCAACCAATTGGATCAAAACAGTGACATCAAAATAAGTCTTACATGTGAGCTTGTAGAAGGATCCATTTCAACTAGTTCAGTGGTAGGACTAGCCTCACTGCATCAGGTATGAAGAACCAAAAGAACATTTACATGGGGAATATTTGAAATAAAGTGCAGATTGCAGACAAACATAAGCCTAAGCAAGAGAAAGAGGTACTATCTTACATAAATTTGCATATAGTACTAAAGAGTAATAAACATAATATACAACACATGTCACATTAGAGTGTTGACTGTTGACATGGGATGGTGTTCAAACACAAGAGTCATGCACATGTCAAATGTTATAAAACTTTCTTGCAGACATTGAGAGCACTGTTCTACAAATTCCTCTAGGCGCTTGACTAGTCCCGGACTAGGCACTAGGCAGTAGTCAGGTGCCTCGAATAATTGGTTTGGCGCCAAGGTGAATTGGTCGGCCGCCTAGGGCGCCTACTTGACTGCCTAGGGCGCTTAATCAGCCGCCTAGGGTGTCTAGACTTGCCGAACATTTTTTTGCTTTTTAATTTTATTTTATTTTTCTAAAAGATATATGTACCTTTAACTTTAACCACGGATATGAAGACAGTTAACTTGTAGATTAAGATAAAAACTATATATGTTTATATATATTATTATTTAATACTTATTACATTATGAAGTTAAGTGATTAGTTATAAATCTTATAATATACTCCCTCTGTTCCTTAAATCTTGGCCAAGTTTGACCGGCACGGGGATTAATAAAGTAAAAATTGTATGGTTGAGGTTTGTGCAGAGGAGAGAGATTTAACCGGAACCACAAAATTCTTTACTCAAAATTTAAAAAGGAAGTGGCAAAGTTAATGGGACAACCAAAAAATAAAATTGGCAAAGTTTTAAGGGACGGAGGGAGTATCATACAATGTGTCGATTCTGTCATTCATACATGCTAATGTGTGTGTGCGTGTTTGTATACACACACACAAACACAATATTACTTATCATATTTATGCAATACTGTTGATAAAAATATACTATGTAATTTTTATGTCTCCGACTAGTCTCCACCTAGGCGCCTAGGCACTAGGCACTAGACTAGTGCCCAACTAGCGCCTTTTAGAACATTGTTTGAGAGGTACTAAAATAGTCAGAATTTTGAGAACCCTGGCAATCCAACTCATATTTCTTCAACACAGTCCTTGCGCATTTTCTGAGTGCAAATAAAATGAAAATTTGAATTTTGTAAAACAATAAACATGACATTTAGCAGGTGGAAAATATTTTTAAGGCATGCATTTCTTTCATGTGCCCTGTTGTCAAGTAAATAACACTATCATTCTCACAGGCAACATCATAGTGATGTAATGAATTAGCTCTAAGAACATGTAAATATCAAGGGTTTCTCTCACAAAAGTCAAACCATAGAATCAATTGAAACCCTCGCAGTGATTGTTAAGGAATTTGAGGTTCATATTCCTGTTTATTAAGGAGCCTTAACACCATTTTGTCTTGCCTAAAGGGATCCATAATAATAAACAAAAAAGGCACTAAAAGAACATACTCATTAACGGGTCCATTCCAGTCAGGAACTTCAGCTTGAAACTGAATGCCAATCCGAGCAGAAGAGCGATACGGTTCTGTCTCTCTCAACATGGAATTTATATGTCTCGCTTCTCCTTTTGACAATATGTTGCTACAGCCACCAGCTTTATTGCTAGCATTTACAGATTTACTGCTTGAATTCTCAGTCAGCAGTTTTCTCTTCTTTCTCAAACAAGGGAGGCAAAGCCACTCACCATATGGTACTTTCTTTACACGAGGATTGCAGCAAGAGAGATGGAATGTGTCATTGCAATTATCACAAATCAGCATTTTTAGTGTAGTATCAGAACAGCCACACACTTTGCAGGGGACCAGACAGCAGTTACTGGTAGAAGTGAAAACATCTGTAATACCAACACTTGCAAGCAGCCCATGGTTTTTGAGAACTAAGATGCATATATCCCTTTCTGGCATATTATCATGCAGTACTTCAGTGTCAAGTGCAACAGAAGAGGAGCTCTCACCAGCATCATCTATATCATTTTTCAGGGAAGCTGAATGAGGATCCAAATTTGACTTTGAAGATGAACAATATTCATGTAGGCATTGGTTCAATAAACATTGTGTATCACTTTTAGAAGGTTCTTCTGAAAAGCAATAGTCCCCATCACGGCATCCATTAGAAGATTCTGACATGGAGAAGAGGGGATTTGCATTGAATTCTACAACGGACCTATTTGAAGATCTAGTCGTGTCAATTTTAACCTCAAACTCAAGAAGTTTTTGTTCCATCGCATCCCCTGAAAGAGCTTTGGAGCAAATGGCAGAATCACAACCACCAGTATGTTCGACTTCAGCTAATATTTTGGATGTGGAAATATCAGGGGTGTTTCTCTGAAGCCCCTTCTTGTAGTATACAGCAGTGTTAAACCTTCCTGACATAGCTCCAAAACATGATAGCTGAGAAAAGCTTGGAGGAGCTAAAGAACACAGACCGAAGCCATCTTCAGCTTTTGATTCCACACGTACAAATTTTCCACATCTGTTGATGAGGTGTTGGTCATGCTGTGAACACATTCTCCAATACTCAGCACATAAAAACCAGTCACATATGACAGCTTGTTCAGCAATCTCGAATGAGAAATGGGTGAAGAGAGCATCTTGAACACATCTAGGTAAGGAATATTGTATCAGTGTAGCAATACAACCATGTAGAAAGTCTTTAAAACGTATTAATTCCAGTCTTTATAAACAAATTTAAAAGATCCATTGACAGAAAATCTTTTGAACTTTGGGGACTAAAATGCAGAAGACGATGGTCAAATTACCATCAGATGATCTTCCTCACACTACTGGCTGATGAAGCTAACTGATGAAAATAGAAGAAAGTATTATCAGGTGACCTTGTTGCCAAAAAGAATATTGAAATGTATCTCCTTTGTGTGGTCTCAAGAAAAGAAATACGAAGAAACCCCATCAGCTCTCAAATTAAACCCTTAAACAAAAAATAAAGTAAAAATTGTGTACGGCAGACAATTGTCCCAAGTTCCAATTTGATTGTTAACTCATTTCCTCAAGAGAAGAAAGAAGAAAAAAGAAGTTCATCCACACATCACTAATTAGTTATGCAACCGTAAGAGCCGCCAACATAGAGATACATTTAAGAATATAACCAAACAAAACTTCTTCGCACTAGGTGGGTCGGCTATATGAATTAAGTGATGCCATTTATTCCTGTTGAATCTGTTGACAGTCATCTCCTCATTAAGCACCATACTTATGAGGTCTCGTCTAATTGTCTCTAACTCTCTAACAAAGTTAAATTAGAGGTTTCTCAATCCCTCTTATAATGTACTTTTAAGTCTTTGCAGCTTCTAATAGGAGAGTACATCGGACATCTCCAGACATGGCCAAACCATCTCAAATGGTTCTCCACGTGTTGCACTCAATTTGGGATACTCATACTTTTATCTCTTATTGCCTTATTCAGTTACTCATAATTTTTCCTTCTTTATTTGGAAACAGATCCTCTCAAGTCTCAACATTCTCATCTCTGCCACAGTGCCATCTGGTTTTTATAAGCATGTTGACATGACACCTTCCATCAGTCCAGCCATAAAAAAAATCATGCTTTAATAGCTACCCTATGGAACTTCCTTATCATCTCAAGTGGCATTTTTCAATAATACAAGGTTCAGCAGGCATTCCTCTACTTCTTCTATCATGCCATGTTGATTCATATGCTCAACATCTGCATTAAGTTCCTCATCATGTTGAACCATGAGAACTAAATAGAACAAACTTTCTTTTTCTTGAGTGGTGGCCATGGCGCACTAGTTAAGGTATTGCTATGTGACGGATAAGTCACGGGTTCAAGTCATGGAAGCGGCCTCTTGTCAAAATTACAAGGGAGCACTTGCCCCCTATAACACCCTTGTGGTGGGACCCTCATCGGACTCTCATCGGACCCTCGCCTTACGGCGACATCAATGTGCACTCGGCTTCCTTTTCTTTTAGTAAAGGCTCTCTTTTTCTTGTATCATTTCTCAAGTTAACCTTATGTGGATAATAAAGTTGTTTTTACTTAGACTGGATTTTTTTTGTTTGATCTGGTATGTTTATGTGTGATCTAGTCTGGTAGATGTTTGGTCTCTCTATATTTGTGTCTTTATAACTCCAGAAGTATGGTCTGGTCTGTTAAGGTCTGGCCTGGTCTGATCTAGGACTAAAATAAGTCCTGGTAAAAACATTCCAAGTGTGAATTTAAGTCTAGCCTTACTCCTCACATAAGTTTTGTAGATGCTACAATTCTACATTTCATATAGCTTGTCTTACATATGCTTAGCTTAAAGCCCTCAAAGTCTGAAGTTGATCTGCATAATTCAAGCTTAGCATTCATACCTTCCCTATCATCCAACAAAACAATGTCATCCCCAAGTAACATGCAGCGAGTAACATCAATCCATATGTCCTATTTCATGCTAGAAATCAGAAATCATTCCTAATTCATCTCCAACCAATACTAAACATCAATACTAGCATCAACAAAAAGAGCAGCAAAATCGTTTACCAAATAGAAATCAGAGAAAAATTATCTGCCGATTCTGAAAATCTAATACACAAATCTGTATGATTCTTGAACCTTGTAAAGAAAGAGAGAAAAGTAATGGTAGATTACATTATTCTTATAGGCAGTTATAGCGTCAAGACCATGGGGGGCACTGCAATGAACATGGAGAAAGCCCCCTTCGTCTTCCCTCGTGTGGGGTTTAGGGCGGTGAGTTGAATGTCAAGTTGACAGCGTGGCCTTCAACTATTTCATCTAGTGGCCTGTGTGTGTGTCTTTTAGGTGAAATCTTTCCCTTACTTTTTCATGTAAACATTCGTTGGTCTCAAACTCTAGGACATGTTTAGTTTTGCACTTTTGCTTCGATGATTACGAATACAAATTCATAAAACATGTAGCTTTGCAACTTTGTTTTTGACTCATTAGCTTAGTCAATTATTTTTACAAATTACAATTATTTTAAATTCTGCTTATTTGATCGACTAGAAATATTAGAAAAATGACTTAAGGGAGTTTGAAATGGCCAAAGCGGAATAAGCATTAGTTTTTCAGAATCTAGTTTTTTTGTGTCTTCTAAAAAATTGCTTCTAAGAACAATTTGGAGCACTCAAAAGTACATATGCACTTTCACTCAAACGCTAGAATATATCTATTTCTACTCTATGAGTAAGTGGAAATTGTTTTAAGAAGTAGATCCAAACATCCCCTATATTCTTTTATGTCTCGTTGTTGACAAAGGTTTTTTAATTTTTTCTTGACATAATATTTTCAATATAATTAATATATTGTCAATTCAATCATAAATTCATCAATCTACATATATAACTGTTGGGGTAATTGGCCCAACATGGATCGGCCCAATACCCCATGAGGAAGAATGAATCAAGGGCAACGGCCCACATGGCAACGCCGACGCTCAACTGCTGCGTGTGACACTCGTCCCCGATACTTTGGCCTGGTGATGCCAAGGCACGAGCGTCATCTATGGCCTTGTGCTGACTTGGATCTGGGGTCAGGGAGCCTTTGGATATGATCGTCCAGAACATTTGGCGGAAAGACAAAATATTGGCGGGAAACGCAGTAAATGCACCAGATTTGGTCGTTGGGAAACTAGTCACCCATGATCCTCCACATCACCACTATCACCTACCCCATTGTAGTATAAATAACATCATTTGTTTCATAGTAAGGGGTTGACAACTTGTATTTTCTAGCAATAGTTTTATTTTCTGTACTCATAACTCAGTTATACGCTCGGCTCGTACTCGAGTAGGGTGTGCTATAATTGTTCTTGATTGCTTAATAAGAACTCAAATCCCTTAGTCTCTCTTTGTTTGCTATACACGTGTGCCACCACATTCATTTGATTCACTAAACACCCATCAGAAGTCAAGGGAAGGTGTTGGGTCCTTGGAGTAGGAGGAATAAACCTCAACAAAGATTTTCGGAGGGTATGACTCATAAGTTTCACCCCAAACTGATTTAGCAGGATCATTAATAGATCATTAAGGATCATTTCACAACCTATTTTAACCCCCCCAATCCATCCCAAATAGATCATTCAATCCTTAGATCAATTTCTAATTTCAATATTTGTTTTATGTTTACTTAACAGTGTTTCTGAAGTGTGAATGTTCACTTCATTCAACCATTGATGTTTAGGTAGGCTTCTATTGTGCTTTAATTTCATGCCCTTTTTACTTATGAAGCTTTGGAATATTGATTGACATGAGCGTTGAAGGTTAAATCCTTAAATCAAGGTTTGGGACGAACCTCTACATCTTAACTTTTAATATTGACAAAAGGTTCAGATGGGCTCGTGTAGTTGTTGGGTTTTCTCAACTCAATCACCACACTAAAGAGAAGTCCAATTCACACCCTTATCTTGCAAAAAAAGATTCAAATTCTATTTCTTATGTGTCAACTTTCAATAAATATCCTGATAAAACGTTGACATTTAAATGAATTGTTCAAAAAAATCTTTAACTCACAATTATTCAACTCACTCATAAACTATTAATGTGTCGAGTTTCTAATAAATCAGGTATGGCCTCTTGTGGTGTTCCCCTACCTTTTTCTTGATGGGCTATATTAGTGCACATATATTAATTTGTTACTAGTGATTAGCTTTTGTATATTCATATCTATTAGACAGAATAGTTTACGTATGTTTATGTATTCCTATGTATTAGATATCGTAGGGACGTTTGGAATTCGTTATGTTTCTATTTCTGTATCTAAACTATTTCTGTTTCTTAGAAGTCGGTCTTTCCTTCAACTTCTGAGAAACTGTTTATAAGAGCAATTTGCAACACCAAAATTACTTTGTGTTAGGTTCCTCAGACTTTGATAGTTTTGATGATGTCACCCTCTTGTTTGGTTCAGACTTTCATTCATGTACTAGACCTATCTACTGCTTGTCTCACACTGTGTAGATTGTAGTATGCTCCATATTTGTTAGATAAAAGTACTCAAAGTACCATAAATATCAAATGAAGAAAAGGTACGAAATTAAGAATGTACAATCTTTGTACAAATAAAATATACTGGAATTATAAAATGCAATAAGGTAAATTCTTTTACCTTACAAGGATATTCAAATCCAACCAGTATAACTTTATTTGATATAAAGATTGACTTGTCACTAAAATTCAACTAGTAAATTGTGACAAACTTACATGTACACTTTCTGTACCAAATAAATTGCACTGGAAATATAAAATACAAAATTTTATACAAAAATACACTTTCCTTTTTACCTTAAAAGGATATTTAAATCCTACCAGTACAAAATTATTTGATACAAAAAGACTGAAGTCACAAATTTACTAAGGCCACAGTATCTACAAGAGCACGGACACTACACACGCAGAGTTGCATACAAACCCAAAACCTATAAGTAGGTAAACAGTGCGTAGAAAGGCCTAAGGTATGGGTTCACATATCCTACTTGCAAATTGATCCAATTGCGACTGAAGAAGATAATCTGCTCCAACACAAGAAGACGAAAGTACAAAACTTTGGACGTCAACGATTAAATCCTCTCAACCAACGGAGGAGATTAATCAACCAAAGATGCCTATAAATACAGGCATAATCATGAGTTCATATTCAAGCATTTTGAGAGTCCTCTAAACAGAGAAACCATATTAAGCATTCAAAGAGATACCCAGCATAAGAGAAAGTGCTCATTTAAACTTTGCTCTCTGTTTAGACTCATGCTTCACTAAACTTCCTAGTTAGAACTCTCATTGCCATATTCTGGAAGTTTAGTTCTTAGTCGGAGGCTAGAAATTCCGTTACATTTGAAATTGTTGTAAACACTTAGAAGGACAGTGTTATCTAGTCCTAAGTGTGGTAGAATAGAATAGAGTACCTTTTGATCCCCACTGGATCAATTGAGAAAATCTAAGGACTGAATAACTTGGAGTGGTGTGTACTCCTTGTGAAACACCTTCAGGTCTGAGCTAGTTGTGTGATAACAGCCAGACGGGCACTAAGTGTATTGGGCTTAATACTTTAGTGGAAATCCATCTGAAAGAGGGTGAGACTGGATGTAGGAGGATTACACCACACCTGAACCAGGATATATTATGTGTTGATTCATTTTCAGTCAAAAAAGCACACACCAAATACTTCCTTCAACTTAGCAGAAACGTGAGCTGTAACCTCAGCAGCAGTCTACTGCCCACTCCTCTGCTCACCTCTTTGCTGAGCATACTACTTATCTATACACTTATCTAAAGACATCTTAATGCTTTAGAAGTCTTATTCACTCTTCGTTAAGATCTCTTTCTTAAAACAGAAGTCTCTAAGCTACTATCACCTTAGAAGTCCAACAGAAGACCTTGTGAGGGATTCTGGTCCAAGGTCAACAGAAGACCTCGCGAAGGGTTCTGTCACAAAGACACCAGAACACCATACCAAGGTATTCTGATTGAGACCTTCTGTCCAAAGCATCTCTGCCACTAAGCACCTCTGTCTCTGAAAACAAGGAACGTTCACTTTACCTCACTCAAACACTTCACTTAGGTTCCTTTAAGATCATGAAACTTATCTGACCATCTCTCAGACTTCTCATTGTCCACTTACTAACAGAAGGTTGTTATATACATAGAGGTCAAGACTTTCGTTGTGGATCCTTAATCTATCAAAAGGTTATTGATCATCATATCTGGGAGGGAAGCTTTTTAAAGTTGAAAAAGCTTTAAAAGTCTATTCACCCCCCATTTAGACTTTTACCTTTATCTGGGACCAACACTTTGTACTTTCACCTAAGCACTACCAAAATCGACTCAAGTTTTGTGGTTTGATTCTTGATTTCAACTATTCTAAAAAATCGCTAAAACTAACCGACTAAAGAGCGAACCCGACCAAAACCGACAGACTTATTTTCGAAACCGACCAAAACTGAACCGATAAAAACGAACCGGTGAACACTCCTAATATATGTAGAGTTTAACATCTCTATAGCAACGTGATACTGTTATAGCAGGGTTGAAAATTTTAAAAAGCAAGATGTATTACTCAAAATGTAGAATGTGAAAAACTATTACACAAAGGTCAAATTACTACAATTAAGACATGCGCTTTAAAGCAAATAGTTTATATGTTACGAGAAAGTAAGATTGCAATTGGTCTACTTAGATTCATGTATGACTTTCATGTACATGTTGGTTTAGCTAAAGAAAATGCAAACCAAAATCACGAAGCATCTATAATATTGTAGACTAACAACTAACAAGAGCACTTCTTTGTTTTTTTATCACTTCTTTGTTATTTTTCTTGTTCAATGATATTTCAATTCAAACAAAAACTCTCTCTCACATACGTAGTATATTCTATGAAATACGGAGTATGAATCTCATTTTCATTCAAACTTCATCTCTTCTCAAGTCACAATATCACCATATTAAATCTCACATCCACAACGTACTACATACACCCCACACTTCTGTCTCTAGTTGCTCTTGGCAATAACCATCACAAATTTAAATTTCAAAAAGATTTTATCAAAAAAGTACTAGAAAATAGACAAGTTTTCCAACAAAAAGTGCATTTTTTTTTATGTTTATCAATTATCACTCACTAACTCATACAATCATACTCATATTATCTATGTGACTTACCATCTAATTTACCTCAAGTCCCCAATCCACCAATTTCCAAACACACCCAAAAATGTGAGATTCTTTTTTGGTTACAAGTAGGGAGAGATTTGGAATGCATACTATTAGGTACTTCATCCGTTCCATTTTGGTTGTCTTACTTTCCTTTTTGGGTTGTCCAAAAAAGAATGTCATGTTTCTCTTTTTGGTAAGAAATTTGTGGTCCATATCATTTCACTTCATTCTACTCAAATTTCAACCACAACTTTTACTTTTCAACCACTATATTAATAAGAAAAAATTGCGTCCGTATTACAATTAGACTATTGAATTCTAAAAATATAACCTTATCTCTATTTTCTAAAAATATGACAAATCTGGAGAGAGCCCATCAGCCCAACGCATCACCTTCGCATAGATCCCAGCGCATACCTCGACGTCCATTCCGATTTCCAGCGCAGATGGCCATCTGCTTCGCATCATCTGCTCGGAAGGAGAGCTCGGTCGACCGCGGCTTGCATCACCGTCGCCCATCTCCTTCGCCGCCGCTCTCCTGCTGTCGCCGCCCTACCCGCCGCAACTCTCTTCTTCTACTCATTTCTTCTCCACCACTATCGCTACAACTGAAATCGAAGATCTAGGCGTCATCCTCAATGGCCACACCTCCACTGGGCAGACATAGTTCATCGGCGCTCCAGATACGCTCCTCTCCATGATTTCGTCTTATATTTTTAGATCTGAGGTGAAAGCTGCGGTTAGGGTTACGCCAGTGGTGAACGACGACTATAGTTACAATAGTGGTGATGGGCAGGGTTGAGATAAAAAAAAGGCAGGGTTGAGATCTGTTGGTTGGGGCTAAAATTTGTTGGTTGGGGAAGATTTGTGCCGGTGGTGATGGGCTGGGGGTTGGGGGAGTGACGGATTGGGGGTTGGGGATAGATGTTGGTGGGTGATGGTGTTGAACGA